TTCTTTGGAATAGGCTATGATGTTTTTATTTTTTATCTCATGAAAGGAGAGATACTAAAAATTAGGTATGTTTGTATTCTTCATATTTTGATTAGCTAAAATACTATACAAGCTGAACTTAAAATGTCCCAGAGCTCTGCCCATGAGATACAGATGTTCCACAGGCCTTTTCTTTCTCAAATAATAATCTTTCTTATAATAACCTCTAACTCTGGGCATTCCTAATTATGATAAAAATTTCTCATTGTACGTGAAAGACAGGATTGTGTTTTAGTGATACTTATTCAAAAGTAGAAACCATGTTAAGTTCATTACCTTTTATATTTATCGTTTGTTTCCTTTTTAACTATTAAATGCTACTGCAATCTATATCTAGCTGCCCTACTTTCCCTTCCCGATGAGTAATTTCAGAACTATTCAACAGCTATTAAACACTAAGTACGCCCAGTCTTGAATTAACTGATGTTATATTCTGTACAATCCTAATATATTACTATCTGATGATGACTCAGAACTTAGAAAGAATCAAGGTATACTTTGTTCTAACATATACTGTAACTTTGGAAATATTGTTTTGGAATATTTTATAACTAATATCTCAGACAGCTGAACTGACAGTTCTATTAAGAGCACGCCATCTTGCTAAAGAATTAAGAATTAGCATCTATACTGTCTATGGATGAACATTCAGAATTGCTTGAGATGTCAGCATATTGTGCAATCGAAAGGGTTTTCTAATCTCCTCAAACAAAAAGTGAAAAGAAATTATTGTCTTGTTGACCAACACCCAAAGAAAGTTTCCATTATTAAGACTGAAGCCCATAATAAAGTTAATACTTTAAAGTCTACTACCATACAAAGAGCCCTCTCTGGTGTTAACAGTATATTATATTATAGACAGTTTTTCTATCTGATTTCTGTATAAGAAGGACTAATTAAAGGACAACACTCATTGGGGTGGGAGGATGGATAAGTGGAAAGACATTGGCTTTGTCAAGACTGATTCATGCTGCTTGGTGTCTCTCAAACTATCTCTAGACTGATATTTATGCTAAAGGAAATAATAACAGTAACCCAAATCACAGCAACAAATTAGCTCAAACTTTACAAAACTATGAGTCAAAAAAACTTTATCTAGGAGGCTCAACAAGTCATAAAAATTTTACTCATTTTAATTATAACCCAGGAAACATATCAAGAAATCCCCACATCTAAGATCATGTAAGAACTTACAAAAGGATTTAGTTCAATTGACCAAATGATAACCCTTTAAGTACTTTTAAATTTGTAACTTTTCTGGTTAGACTGAAACATTCCCTTAGTTTTAAATTTTATGCCTGGCCTAATTGTATTGCAATTTGCATTTTAAAATCTTTATAAGCCCTCATATGAAACTGTTGTAGAAAAACCCCATGAGGCTGTGCTTGACTCATCCTCTAACAGATTCCATCCTTAGTACGTTGCAATTGTTACATTTCTTCAAAAAATGAATCTCACATATAGTCTTATGCTTAACACACAAGCTAAATTTCTGAAAGGCACATCATTAGACATATTTTATCCCCTACCATCACCAGGATGGTATACATTTGGGAGACTAAATTTATTAGGAGAGACACCAATAAAAGTCAGCCTTAAAACCACACTGGAAGTGACCATCTTGGGCACCTTTAACTCCAAATACAGCTCCAGCTGCAGGCCCACAGCCAGGGATCTATGTTTCTGATCGTAGTATAAAGGTGCTTAGGATCCTATAACCTGGATATCCAGACCAACTGAGAATTGACTCGGACACTCATCATAAGGACTCCAGAGAAAAAAGGACAACTTTCCTAATAAGACATCTACCTCCCAAGAGTCTTTGGATTGAGAAGATAACATTAGGTGTAGACCACTTTCTCCAAAGACCGTCTGAACCCTGATGTGACAACAAATGAAACTTCCATCTCATTTTTATATTGTGTCTGAAAATTCTGCCAAAGTCTGAATTCTTTGTGGGTATGGTTCTGCTTGTTGTTTGTGCTGACTCTTGTTCGAGGTGTTCCTGTATGTAATCTTTTTGCTGGAACTTCATGTTTATTGAAACTCTGTAGGGATTTTTGAGGCTTGTGCTGGGTGTTGGGGAAACCTTCCTCCAAGGAGGATTTGTTTACTTCTCCCAAGCACCTAGGGTACTACCAACAAAGACAAATGTTAAATTCATAGCGTGTAGTCTTTTTAGACAGAAGTATGAACTCAGGTCACAAACTGGCATGAGGGCTGGCCGTTAACCACATATTCTCAGAGGAGACTTTCTTTCTTCCGACCAGAACTAATGCAAGGCAGACAAGTTTCTCCACTCTCTGCCTTCCCCCATCCCCCTTTAATTCTCTCCCCGCCACAACTTCCACCCCTGACCATGGATGTTGCCATTTCCCCTTAAGAATTGGATCTCTGAAGGTGCGGCGTCTCCTCCCACATGCTTGTGGCACGCACCCAGGGGCCTGGCGCCTCCGTCTGCCTTTTTAGGTAAAAATTTTTTCTAATTCACCCTTTCTATGAGGGTTAAACTCTCTGTGGTTTTTGGTTTTAGAGGGTCTCCAACCTAACTCCCATTTGAGGCCAAAGCTTTGTTTTGGCCCCTGTGTCTCCTTAAAACTAGAACTGTAGGCCATCTGGAATTAGTAAATGCTCCCAGGGCCACCAAGGCCCTCAGCATTTGTTTACCTCCCTGAATGCATGCTGGCCTCACAGGATTTCCTTTTGTAAGTTCAGTCATGTTTTAAAAGGTGTTCTTGTTTAACATGCTTAGGTGTGTCATAGCAAAATATTTTCTAAAATTTAGTATATTGCCAAAAATATGTCTACAAATTCTATCTCTTCCTGGATATCTCACAAATACAAAACTTTGGTAGTGACCTACCCTTCCACTACCATATCTAGTTTTCCTTCAAAAATTAATGATACCACTTCCTATCCACCTACTTATGACAAAAAAAAATATATATATATATTTGAGCATACTGCCCCATCTCTTCATCTTTAACATTCCAGTATAACTCTTATTCCAGTATAACTCTTATTGGTTCTAAGTTCTAAATATCTCTTGAATTTGTTCTCTTTATTCTGGCCACTACTTCCTTCGGAATTTACCGTTTCTTTTCTGTGTCACTGAAATAATCTCCCTGTTTCTATGCTTACCTCCCTCAAATCCATAGTTCACAGAGCTCCCAGAAAAACCTATTTGAAATAAATGACCATGTCGCTTGCAAAATGAATGACCTTCAGTGACTTCTCACTGCCACAAAGGTTTCACTTATCATGGAATATAAGGTCCTCTACAATCAGTTATTCTCAATGCTGTAGTCAGAACAAAATGTGCAATCTCCTGCTTGATCTACCATCCTCCAATCACTGTCAAACCTCACCCCAGCTTCCTTGGCCACCTAACAGCTCCATTTCTTTCAGAACTCTGGTCAAGACTCCTTTCTTCCAAGAAGCTTGCAAGCAAATTCTTAGTGCACCCTGTTACATTACTGCTCAACTATTAAGCACTGCTCAACTGTGCTTAACTATTATTGCACTTACCACACCGTACTACAATCATTTATCTGTTGTCCCAATCAGGCTATGAATTCCTTTTAAGGACAGAGAAATTCTTATCTCTAGCCACAGTACCTGGCACAGTACCAATTACATGAGGTACTTAGTACCTAACAATGAATGTTTTTGACTCCCACAAAACCTTATGAAATTGACTGATATTCCACTGCTGCTATCAAAGTTCAGGCCCTTTCTTCTAGCTCTATCCTCTTATACGTCCTTCTGCCTCTAGTTTATCGACCTTTCTAATGTCACCTAAATTCTTTCTGAAGCACAATTCTGATCATGTCCTGCTTAACCTCAGAAACCTCTTACTGCTGTTATTCCCTGCCTCACTTTCTCTGCCGATGCAGCAGGTCACAGCAACCAATTTTCCAAAGCGATGGCTCAGCCCCATCCTAATTACAAAACCAACCAGTCTCCACTTTAACTTCTCAATCACCATCTAATGAAGCTTATTAGCATCAGACCCTTCCAGATCCAAACTAGGATCTGATGATACTAATGATAGCTACAGGATCCCATAATATCCAGTTACTGCCCTCCCCATTTTGACTATATGTACAACCCCATCTCATCACTGCATTTCACAGCAGTGATGCGCCGGGGTGTGCTGAGGTGTGCCAGGGGAAAGGGGCCAGGGTTACAGAGGAACAACAGGAGAGATCATTGTCTACAGAGAACTTCAAAACAATAAAGGTCAGTCTACTTTTTATCATCATGAAATAGCCATTCTAAACAATGTCAGTAACAGAATACTCCTCCCTGCAGGGCGGACTGGCCCACCACCACTCCTTAGTGAACCACTGCTATTCAGGCATCACTCCCTTTCGACACCTTTAACTCACCCCAACAGAATCAATCACCTCTTCCTAAACCCTTCATACATACCTGAATCTCATACAAGGCCATAAGCGTGTTAAAGGGAGCTTCTCTTTAACATTCATGAACACACCCTTCTAGCCAGCTCCCTATCGAGTTCGCCTCAGCTGCCCAGTAAAGTCTTCAGTGAGTGAAATGTGCCAAGTCCCAGTTCCTCTATGTTGCTAGGAAAAACAAACCATCAGGCCTTATACTCACTCACCCCATATACCAGGCTAAGTGCACATAGAATATAATTTGAATTCCAATGGCTGGCATTCATTGAACTCCATAATCTGGAACTAATTCTAATTTCTACTAATACCCTCCTCATACTAACTACTTATACTCAGTATATTTCTGCCTATTACACGTAAATCTTTTTTGTCTTATAGTACTTTGTGTCTGATTTACCTAACTGCTAAGCCACAGAAGGAAATTTAAACACTCAGTTCTACTTTAATGCTGTAGATACAATAAACTCAACACTATTAAATAAAACTAGGGACAGTTAATATATAAAAGAGTAGAATACATTTTTATTATATAGAATTTTATTTTTTAAAAAACTTTATTTTCATAGAATACATTTTCACATTAAATTCCCACAGTGGGAAAATGACAATTTATTAAAGTTTTATATTTGCAGATACATTTTTTCAGGACAAGTAAAATGAACACATTTGAGAATCAAATCTCAGTTTAGAATCTATAATATTTTGATATTAATTACTAGGAGATCTCTTCTCTACTTGGAACTTCTCTATATTCAGAAGCTTTCCAGGCTCTTTTTCCCAGAATTTAGAAATTAGTAATGTGAACTATCAGCATATCCTAATTTTAAAGTTTCCCAAGGACATGTAACCATCAGTAACCGGTATCAACTGAACAGAGGGAGAAGTTTTCAAACATTAAGCAATGCGTAAGATTCAGTCGTCTTTCTTTATGAATTAACAGTCTTTCCCTTTCTCTATCATTCCCAGGACAAATATAGACATTTGCTCAGGCATTGATAGTTATAAAGTTGAATTCCCTTTAAGAGTTTGATAAATTAAAATGCAAAAGCTCACGTTTAGTTATATTGTGAGTCTAGTGAGAAGCTGGGAGGCAACTCCATTAACTCGTCAGAATAAGAAACTCAGCCTTACAATTTCTTGGATATATATAATTCCTCTCAAACCTTTTCCTCAAAGATTAAATTCTAAAAATAACCAGGTGATTAGGAGAAGAGGTTAATCTCACCAATGGACTTAAGTTATTTCCTCCTTACTGTGAGCTGAATGGCATGACAGAGCAGAGGCAAAGAGGAGTACAATCAATTCTCAAGGTATTAAGTCAAAAAGGTCAGAGCTTCCACAGCATGGCAACAGCTTTGCAGATGCCCACGTCGTGATAGTTGAAATAACAAAGCCCAGCAAAGGTGAAAGCCGAGAGTGCCAAAAGGCCTGCCTTAGCGACTTTCTGCAATGCATCCCCTCGTACATAGTCAGTAACAACCTGTCCAAGGCCCCTAAGGAAAAAAAAAATCACAGTACAAAAAAAACCAGAAATGTGGTTAGAAGGTTATATAGATAACTTGACTGCAAAAAGATAATCAATCAGGTTCAAACTGCAACAAGATCATAAACCAAAATAAAAGAAGCAAGCATTTCCTAATAATAAAGACATCTTCTCATTCTTCAGATTCAGTTTTCTGGAATCACTCATTTAAGAGAGAGTAATCAATGCTACTCTATCTACAAAATCTTGGTTTGTTTTTTGTTTTTTGTTTTTTAACTAAAACAAATGTTCTCCAGAGTTTTTCATTTATTTGAAAAGAATGTAGTAAGCAGATATTATGTGCCAGAACCTGTTATAGATGTTGGGAGTACAGCAAATTGAGACAGCATCCTTCCCCTTATGGAACATACATTCTAATGAAGGAGAAAGAAGAATACATATGTGCTATGAAGAAATATTTTAGAAATGTTCTGCAATATTTTGGACCTCAATGAGAATACTCCAAGCAAAACTGACAATGACCTTGGCATCTTTAAGAATATTAAAAAGGTTAGTGTGACTGGAGAACATGGAGATCAAAAGGTGGGGACAGATCACATAGGGACTTAAAAGTCATAAAAAGAAGTTTGAATTTTACTTAAAACATGAGAAACCACAGATGTGCTTTAAATAAGGAGTGACCTAAGGAGTGACCTAATTTTACTTTTCTTAATAACACTTTTATTGAGATACAACTCACATACTATAAAATTAACCCTTTTTAAGTACACAATTGAATTACTTTTAGTATAGTCACAGAGTTGTGAACATCATCACTATTTAACTCCAAATATTTTCATCACCCCCAAAAGAAACCCTGTAGCTATTAGTCCATTACCCAATCACTAATTTGTTTTCTGTCTCTATGGATTTGCCTATTCTAAACATTTTATATAAATGCAATCATATATGATGTGGCCTTTGTGTCGAGTTTCTTTCACTTAGCATAATGTTGTGGCACGTATCAGTACTTAAATCCTTTGTATGATCAAATAACACAGGCATATCTCATTTTATTGTATTTTGCTTGATTGCATTTTGCAGATATTGAAGGGTTTTACAAATTGAAGATCTGTGGCAACTCTGTGTCAAGCAAGTCCACTGGTGCCATTTTTCCAACAGCATTTGACCACTTCACGTGTCTGTTTTACATTTTGGTAATTCTCAAAATATTTAAAACTTTTTCATTATTATTATATTTGTTATAGTGTGATCTTTGATGTTACTAAGACAAGACACTCTACTAGCAAAAAAATTATGACTTGCTAAAGGCTCAGATAATGGTTTGCATTTTTTAGCAAAATTATTTTAAATTAAGGTATGTACATTTTTTAGACATAATGCTATTATGCACTTAATAGACTACAGCACATTCAGTGCAAATGACATTTATATGCACTGGGAAACCAAAAAATTCATGTGACCCACTTTATTGCAATATCAGTTTCATTGCCATGGTCTGGAACTGAACCTGCACTATCGCCAGGGTATGCCTGTATTCCTTTGTAAAACTACATCATATTTTGTTTAGCTATCCATCAGCCAGTAGGCATTTGGATTGTTTCCACTTTTTAGCTATTATAAATAACACTGCTATGAACATTCCTGTACAAATTTTCGTGTGAGGCCATATGTTTTCAATTTGGGGAGCTATACACCTAAAAGTAGAATCTCTGAGACACATAGTAACTTTTTGTTGGATCTGCCAAACTGTTTCCCAACTGTTTCCCAAAGACTGCAACATTTCACATTCCCAGCAGAATATGAGGATTCAAACTTTGTGACATCCTTGAAACACTTGTTACTGCCCTTCTATTTGATTACAGCCATTTTAGTGTTTTTGATTTGATTTTGATTTGCATTTCTCTCATGGTTTTGATTTGCATTTCTCTCATAAAAATGATGTTGAGCATTTTTTCATGTGCTTATTGGCTAGCTGTGTATCTTCTTTGGATAACTGTACTTTTACTTTTAATAAGATCACTCTGGCTATAGTGCGGCAGTGCTGGCAGGAAAAGGAGGGCAAGAACAGGAACAGAAAACTTAAGTAGTCTACCCAAGACTTCTGGCTTAACCTAGGCTGGTGAAAGGGGAAATGGTGTGAAGTGACAATTCAGACTATGCTTAAGAACGAACAGAAATAACTGTAGACTGGATGTGTGTAAGACAAAAAGAAATATCAAGAATGATTCCTAGAATTTTCAACTCGAGCAACTAGATTTGAGTTAGGGAAGAACAAGACAGAGATTCTGAAGGGAAATTGAGAGAGATATGAGGGGAAAAGGAGTGATTTTGACAAAGTTAAATTTAGGATGACTATTAGACATCCAAGTGGCTATGTCTATTAGACAACTGGAAATATAAGTCTGCAGCTCAGGAAAAGAGGTCACATCTGAGCTCACCATGGGAAAGTATATAGATATAGAAATTAAGAAGGCCAAGACTAAGCCCCAAGTTCAGATCTTTATTATTCAAGTCAGACAAGAGGACAAGGAACTAGCTGAGACTGAGAGGTACAGCTGGTGAGATGAAGAAAACAAGGTGAATATGGCATCTAGGAAGCCAAAGAAAAATTACTTAAAGAGGGAATATTCAATTAAGTTGAATGCTGCTGAGAGTTCAATAAATGGAGGACAGAGAACAGACAAGTGGATATGGAAAAAATAAAGGTCTTTGGTGACTTTAGTAAGAATGACTATAGTTAAATAGTTGGGATAAAAGGCCAATTAATCCGAGTTAAGAGAGACTGGATGCTGAGGAACTGGTGCACAATTACAGACAACTTGAGTCATTGTTTTGTGTGTGTGAAAAGGAAGAAAATTAGTGAGATAACTGGAGAAGTCAATTTTAATAAAAAATTTTAATAAATTCTCTTATTTTAATTTTTGATTAATTTAGATGGATCTCCTTCCAAAATATCATGTATTAGAGAAATATTACTGTACTTGTAATCTAATATTTCATATGCAACTGGAATCCTTTATTTTGAAAAGTCCATGTGGTTAAAGGGCAATTCTCCTAACAAACCCTAAAAACCTTGGCAAACAAAAGCCCCTTTAACACTGGCTAGAAAATGATTGTGACACATCACTTAACCTCCCTGGGATTTAGTTTCCACATCTGTAAAATAACAGGGCTGGTTAAGATACTCCCCCAAGTCTTTTCAGTTCTAACAACCCAAAACGCTTCCCTATTCACGATATCAGACTGTTCTTGCAAAACAACATAAAATGAACAACTCAGGGAACCCAACTTTTACTTATAAACTTTCTAGAAGGTTCACTAACAGAGAAAATCTAATAACTACATTGGATAAAATAAATAAAAACTGGAAATTCATTCATTCAATAAATATTTAATTAGTGCTATGTGTCAGGTACTGATCTAGGCACTAAGGATACAATAGCAAACAAAAACTGTCAAAAATCCTTATCATATTTCTTTTTTTTTAAAGGGCAAGAATGAACTATAGATTATGGGATGCACTTTTGGATGACAAAATTATGATGAAATATAAGAAAGTGACTACTATAAAAATCAGGATAATGGTTCCTGTTGAAGCGTTATGACAGAAATAGAACACAACAAAGAGGCTTCTGAAGCAGGCGGCAAAGTTCTATTTATTGACCTGGGTGGTATCACCCTTATAATTCTTCATTAAGCCATAGATTTGATTCTTGTGATTTTCTGTATCTGTGCTATCACTCTAGTGAGGGAAGACAAGGAATCTATAAAATATTAAATAGACAATATATTAGAATGTAGTAAGTGCTACTGAGAAAAATAAAATGGGGAGAGAGATAAGGAATGTTGGGAAGGACACTGAGATTTTGAGTAAGTGGTTAGAGAAAACTTCGGTAAGAATGTTAACATTGAAGATGTGAAGGATTAGAGGGAACAATCCAAATATATAAAAGAGTTTAAAGCAGAAGGAACAGTAAGAGTAAAGTCCTGAGGCCTAGAGTGTCCCTGGCATGTTAATGAATTATCAAGGAAGTCAATGTGAATGAGGGAGAGAGTAGGTGGAGATGAAGAAGAAACAGGGATCACATAGAATCTAGACCACTTTATGAATTCTACTTTTAGTTTGAATATGATTAGGAAACAACAAAGGGTTTTGGGAAAGGAAATGTCTTGATCTGACTTAATATTTTAACAGGGTCACTGGGGCAGCTGTATTGGGCGTAGACAGAAGGGGGACCAGTTAGGAGACTACTTCTGGAATGATGACCAAGTTTGGGGTATGAACAAATGGAAGAAAGGAAATGCTATTAATTCAGATGGGCAAGAGTGCTGGAGGAAGAGATCTAGGGAACATCAGAAACTCAATTTTATAGGATGCTACATTCAAAATATCTATTAGATATGGGCAGGTGCATATACAAACCTAGACATAAATATATTTTATATGTTTTAAAAGTTTTTTGCAGGTCTTGAGTATCCCAGTCAATTTCTCCCTTATATGTAATAATGAAACTCACAACAAACAAACTGAGCAGACAACGTAATACTGAAAGGACTGCTGTACTTGCCAGTGACTATGGAGAGTGAGGACTGCAGCTAGGGAGTAGTCCACCGCTGAAGAAGGACTCAAATAAGAAGCTGGAAGTAGGCCCAGGAGCAAAACACTGACAACCCTTTCACCAGTCCAATGGAGAGATGCAGCCTTGGAACCAGCTATAGAAAGGAAGAACCAGAGTCGTAAGAGCTGAAGGGGGAAACACATCTCTCACATTCAACATTTGCCACAACAGAACCCAAACTGACAGAATGGCAAACAGGATGCATATAAGACTTAACTCTGAGCATAAAGAGGGTAAGAAAAAGAAGGTAATCGAAAGAGATACTATCTCCCTTCTTTTAGTACAGGATGTCTCAACACCTGCATATGTTGATTAGAAGACAAATCCACTTTACTTACAGGCATGAAGATGGACAAAATATCTTTGCAGAATTACCAATCTTGGACTTCAGGGTAATAGACAGATATCTTATGTATATAAGTTAGTGACACCTGAGAAATTCCTTTAAAACTTACCTCTTTTATTTATACGTTCTAATCTTTGGAAGTAAGGTAATATTAAAAAATCCTCCTAAAACAAAATTAAACCAATCAACTCAAAGAGAAGCAAAGTTCTGATGTCAACTTTTAAGATCATGGTCTTTGTTCTGTCCATCACTTATAAATTGCCCAAAACAGATAAGGAACACAAAAATTTATTTCAAACAAGCGAAAAATAAAATGGGCTCTAAACATTTCTTTGAGAGCTTCTTATCATTTTTTGGTTACAGACCCCTCTGGGAATCTAATAAAAGGATGGTGCAACTCCCCGGAAAAATGCACTTGTAAACATACATTAAAAACTATGTTTATAACTTCGGGGTTTTCCTTTGATCTCATGTACTCCAAGTTAAAACCACTCTGCTAACCTAACTAAACTAAGCAAAAGAATGCAAAAACAAAAACTTTTCAAAGATAAAATTATTCCAAAAAGCAGAAAGACTACACTTGTCTAATTTCTCATAACTCAGCTGCAACTATATCTAAGCAGTTGATGTAAGAATCAAGAGAAGTCAGTAAAATACTGATTTTTCCAGACTTTAAAAATGAAAAGACAGTTAACTTATTATTCACCTACAAGTTTTCTAAGACTAATTTTTGTAATATCTAAATGATATTCACCTAAGAAATGCCATATGATTTTAATATCAACCTCAATAAAAATAAACTTCAATTACAAAACTATATGTGTGTGTGTGTGTGTGTGTGTAAAACTTTTTAAATTGTCTACCATTTTAAATTATTCTTATTTGGCTCCTCTCCATTAGCTAACTGAATAAATGACTCAACTATACTGAACAGACTCTTCCTACAGAGCTATTTTGTTTCAAAATTTTAAAAATTTTAAAGATTTAGACCAGGAGGTTCTCTATGAATATAAAGGGAATTATTCAACCATGTTGGCATTGTCTGCCCGAAGGTGTAGGCTAGGTCTTTTGACAGAGTCTAATGCAAGAGTTCCCCCTACTGACAAGAAGTGTTTGCCAAAGGCATGATAATTAGCCCAGATGAAAACAGCCAGAGCCCAGAAAACAGCAACGATGGAGAAAACATACAATGACGGCTGGGTGACAGGTGAATGTTCTGCGTTCCACACCATCCTGGGGTAGGTCGGTCCTGGAGAAATGCTGAAATGTGAGCAGGTCTGACCACTGGGGTTCGGAGGAAGAGAGCTGAGAAGAGACACATTAGGATGATCAGAAGCACCTCTCCTTTAATGGGATTGAGACTTTTTAAATGACCATAGGCAAGCTACTTCAACCCAAATAGGGGATAACATCACATCTATAAAACAAGGATAGTATCTATTTCACTAGGTTGCTGTAAAGTCAGACTAAGGAGCCACTGAAAGATTGAAAAATCAATGAACCACTTATGTAAAAGGGCTTCACTTTTACTGATTTTAAAAATTAAATTATAGCTCCTTTCTCCTTCCATTTATTCATCTGCTCTGCACTGGAGTAAAAGATAAAAGACACAGTCTTTGTCCTCAAGGAATACACTCTAGTTTGGGAAGTTCATCTATTACTATCATCCTTTTCAAGATCAATTTCTCCAGTTGTACTCTTGAACCCATTCATTTCTGTCCCCTTTGGGATCCTACCGCTTGGTTTAAAAAACAGGCAGACCTAAGTTCATCCAACTCCACCACTTACTAGCTCTGAGATGATCACCAGTTAAGTTAAATAGGCACTCTAAGCCTCGATGTCCTCATTTGTAAAATGGAAATAACAACACTTACTTCATAATACTCTGTTGAAAATTATATATGCAAGGTGTTTAGTATAATTTCCAGAATAGTATAAGCACTCAATAAAAAGCAATTTCTCTCCTGCATCTTTAATCTCTCCTTCCTATTGGCCATTTTCCCTCGACTGATATAATAGACTTAACTCTTCTCTTGATCCCATATTCTCTAACTAAGGCCCATGAACTCTTCCCCTGCTCTCTTTTTCAAACCATGCTTCTTTAAAGTGTTGTCTAAATCACCTCAACTTCCTCACTTCCTTATCATTCTTCAACATTAAAACTTATTTTTATCCCCATCAAAGCTGCTTTGGTAAGGTGTCAATGGTTTCAAGTGGCCATATCCAACAGGTACTGTTCAGTCTCCATCTCACTAGGCCTTTCTGTATCACCTGGCATTGGCGGCCTTCATCCCTTCTTTGCTCTGACAGAACTCTCTTCCAGTTCTCCCTTTGATTCTCTGACCATCTTATATCAGTCTCCTCCTGAATTCATCACTCTTAAATGTTTTCCCAGGATTCTAATCAGCTGCCCATTGCTCTCCTCACTTCCTCTACCCCGCCCTGGCCATTCTGTCCATTCAGCTTCTACTGCTTATTAGCTGATGACACCCAATTCTGTATCTCTAGCCCTGATATCTCTCCAGTTTCAGAAGTTTATGTGCCTATTGGGCCTCTCCCCTGAGATATCTTACATGGTCCTCACAATCACCACTCTCAAATCATCCTTCAACTCACTTTCTTATCCAAACTCCCATTTCCATGTTGCCCACTTTAATGACATGCCAGCTACTCTTTAACCTAACCCAGAAATCTCAAAGTCAATCGTCAAATCATATTGCTATTATCTCCTTAACATTTCTTGAGACAATCTTCTCTTTTTTGTACTGCTCTCCAAATTCAGGACCTCGCCATTCTTTCCTGGACATTAACAGTGCCATATCTCGTCTCCCTGTGTCTTAGCTTGCCCCATGTCCTATGGTGGCCATCTAGCATACTGTTACCAAAGTAGTCAATCTAAACTGCAAGTCTCTGTCAAATCTTACAGTGGCTCCCATTCACATCATGTAAAAATGCATACTCTTTATCGAGACACGTTCTTCTGTGATTCGATTCCAGTTCACTTCTTCAACAGTGCCATATCTCGTCTCCCCGTGTCTTAGCTTGCCCCACGTCCTATGGTGGCCATCTAGCATACTGTTACCAAAGTAGTCAATCTAAACTGCAAGTCTCTGTCAAATCTTACAGTGGCTCCCATTCACATCATGTAAAAATGCATACTCTTTATCGAGACACGTTCTTCTGTGATTCGATTCCAGTTCACCTTTCCAGATTCATCTCTCATTCCTTATCGAGCTTCACATTCTAATAATATCCGATTTGTTTTGTTTCCTCTCATACCAACCAGTTTCTACATGTCATCATTGCTTTTGTTCATCCAGTAGCTCTAATTTTAATGCCCTTCCTCCTGTGGCCTTCCTCATCCTCAAGACTCTCTAATCAGACACTTCTTCTTGAGGAACGGAAACAGGGTAATCCTTCCAGACACAGAGCTAAATACATTCTCCCTCTGGACTGGAGTAACAATTTATGTACAGCACAGGAGTTTTTGTTTTATGTTAAATTATGCTTATATGTGTTTTCCCTATAAAAAGGAAAATTCTCTGAGGGCAGGAACTATGTTTTATTCACATTTGTACCACAACTTTACTGTGCCCCGCATAACGTAAATGTCCAGTTCAATGACTACAGATTTGATCACTCTCACTCTTACAGCAACTCCAGGGAAAATGCGCAAGACCAGGTACTGGGACTTACATACTCTTTTCCGATTCAGAGTGCGAGCATTCTAAGAACAATGAATGAGGAGACAATGAGAGTTCTTATAATAGCCTCAGCAAGCTGTAACTGCCAGAAGGAGTTCTCTTTAAGAGACCACGTCGGTCCAGAGCAGAAGCGACACGCGCTCGGGTGAATATCTGGGCCCGTAGGCAACGGTGGTTACTGCAGTGGTTTCGGCAGAAGCCAAAGCGGCCAAAGGAGTAGGAATTCCTTGGTCCAGAAGGCTCACCACCGAGTATCCTAATCCTCACCGCATCCCCTTCCCCGGCTGGAGGCTGCGTTAAGGACCTCCGGCTGCCAGGACAGCTCACCTCGGCTTCCTTGGGCACCGCAGAGAACACTCAGCCTCCAGATACTCGCCATCTCGCTCCTGAAGGCTCAAGGTCATCCAGCAGCCCGGAAGCAGTCACAAGACAACTCCCACTCCACGACGACCAACGAAAACAAGGAAAAGAAAAAACGCTAGGTGAACCGGAAGTCGAGAGTCGGCGCGCGCGCGCCGCACGAGCGCGCTCACGCCGGTCGCAGGTCCGGACCCTGACGCAGACAATGGCGGAGCTGGGGGAGGCGGATGAAGCAGAGTTGCAGCGCCTGGTGGCGGCCGAACAGCAAAAGGCTCAGTTCACTGCACAGGTACAGGGACAGGGACCAGGGTGAAGAGAAAGGAGGGTGAAGTACAGGTCCGGGCACCCGCAGAGCTCTGTACGCTGGCGGCGCAGTAAGGCCCCACATGGCCTTGCTACGCCCGGTTCCTCTCGCAGAAGAAACAAGTTCTGGCACTCTGGCCGCTGGTGACCGGTGGTGCTCATATGCCCTCTAAGCAAGCCCAGCGTGGGGAAAAGTGTAAAGAAAAAAAGGAAGGTTTGGGCGACACAAGGGCACAGGGGCCTAGTTTGGCGACAAGCATTCTGAGCTGGCATTGGGAAGATCTAGGTTTTAATCCTACCTCTCTGCCAGTTGACAGAACAGGAGCCCCTAGATTAGACACCCATGCACTGAGTTTTAGTTTCACAGTCGCCTGCTGCCCCACTAGATTGTGAGGATCAAATGCAATAATGTATTTGAAAACGATGGAGCAGTAGAACGTTACTGGAAAAGAGGGGGCCTCTGAAGTAATCAGTCTAGATTCGAGACTATTTGTTTAGAACAAGGGTGTTGGAGCCCTTTAGGCATAATTAGAACCCCAGCGTGGGCCCTTATTAGCTAGTTGCATGACCTTAGGTTAATTACTTAACCACGCCTCTTAAGCGGTGGTGAGGCTCCTTTTAGGATCGCGGATTGACTGAATGCTTAGTACCCTCCCTTCCAAATAGTGAGCTCTAGGTAAATGGTTATCCCCACATTGGGCCGTTGAGAGAGAGAGGGTTCACGGAGAATAAGTAGCAAGAACCTTGGTTAGAAAGTTTTAAGGACTTGGACATTATGAAAGTGCACACGTCTTCTATGCCAGGTGTACATTTTTCTGGAAAGTGGATCCATAAGTTTCATTGGATTCTCAAATGTGCCCATGACTCCAGAAAGGTTAAGAACTTAACTACTTTCTAAGGGATGGGTTTGGTTTGGGGAAATTAATTGGTACCATACTGTCCCAGTTTACTCTAATGCTAGTTTGGGAATGTAAAAGACGGTATTAAACTTGCCTGAAAATTTACAATCTGATTACGGACTTGACACAATTAGAAAATAGACAGTAGCCTTCTAGGAAGTAAGAATTTCAACTGTTTTGAAGAATGGATAAAATCTTTAGGGAGGGCATTACAGGAGTATTAAGTCCAGTATGCTGTGCTGGCCTCTTTCAAACTGTATGGGTTGGTGGTTAAATAAGGGAGTGCCCTGAGTGGCTAACAGAGAAATTGATATATTAAGCAAACACAAGGGTAACTTGTTGGCTAGTAGTTTTTAATTACTCAAGGATTGTTGCAATGTGGGGATGAGAATCTGGACCTCATTCCTGTTGGTGACAGGAAGTGAGAAAAGAGGAGAGCCCACGGTTTATTGATTGAAAGAATGGTTTAGTCAAGTGACAAGAAATGAGGAAAATAGGAAGAAAATAAGAAAATTGTCAGATAGGCCCATATGCAGACCCCAGTGGTTACTATTTTTCTTTCCTCTTAGGTGCATCACTTCATGGAGCTGTGTTGGGATAAATGTGTGGAGAAGCCAGGGAATCGCCTAGACTCTCGCACTGAAAATTGTCTCTCTAGTTGCGTGGACCGCTTCATTGACACTACTCTTGCTATCACCAGTCGGTTTGCCCAGATTGTACAGAAAGGTGGGCAGTAGACCATTCCCTGGGAGAATGACAGAAGCAGCAAAGGACTTGTTATTAAGCACATTTAAGGGTCAGTCGGGGGAAGTTGTCAGCCTACTGTCACGTCAACTTCATGCTGTTACCAAGCCTGTTGGTGCTAAAAAGTAATAGATCAAATGTTCAAAAGTGAAATTTATTTATTTGGAATTCGGAAATTCCAAATAAATATCACAACAGTATTCAATAAATGTGAATTCTCCAACTTTTGTTTTAATCTCATTTTAGGATTTAGTAAGATCTCTGATTGGCAGGAACAGTAGAAATAAAGATGTTCCAAGGCCAATACTGCAAATGGGAGCTCTTAGGTTTTGAAGAGCCACCTTAAGCCATATTGAAGGGGGCTAAAAGATATATCATAACCTTAGCCTATGGCATAGAAGAGAATTTGGGGTTGAGAAAGGTGAAGAACAGAAAACAGCTTTATTGCTTATACATGACCAAGAAAAGGTAAACATGGCAAAAAAACAAAACAAAACAGGCAAGATGTGTATTCATGAGGAGATAGGCCTGCTAATATGGGAGGGAGGAAAGGTCAAGATCCAAACAGAATCAACTTCCTAGGTTTGCCTTGTTCCACTGGCCCATCTTCCTGAGTCTGTGCTTAGAATCAGTACTTTTATAGCACAGAAACAATGCTAAAAAGATAAAACAAGAACACCTTCCAACAGACTTCACTTGCTCTGAGAACAAAACAATTGCTTTAGGTTAAGAGGTAGTAATTAGAGACTGTTCTTCCCCCCTTGCACCCTTACTAATCCCAAAGGTAAAAATATTTACCATGGAACATTGACAATTGAGTATCAAACTACTAATATTTAAAATAAATATCCCAAAAGGTAGCACCTGCTTATAATCGGGATAGGGAACCTCTGGCCAACCATATATTTTATAACTAAGCATTTTACTAGAAATCTGTTCTGTAAAGCGAACAAATTCAGTAGTTAGAAAAACAATGTTACCACCTCATGGAATGTTGTCATAGTTATATTCTATTGCTGGTGTCTTACATTGCCATGTTACCATGAAGTATCTGTATCACACATGGGGTTAAAAGTAAGGCCAGGGAGGCTAACTTACCTGCTCTGGACCTCATAACCAATTAGTGGCAGAACCAAGACCAAGAGTCTGAGTTTTCAAGTTTACTCAGCTCAGCCCATGAAGTGACAACCAGGAAACTGATATATCACGATCTGCCATAATGAAAAAATTAACTTGGGTTCTGCCAGCTTTCTTTCAGTATTATTTTGGTTTCTTAAGAATTAACATAGTAAAGATTACAGTATACAGCAAAGGAAAATAATATAGTCTCTGGTTGGTGGTTTAATCCAAAGGCAGACTGAGAAGAAATGGGTATGTCCCTGAGAAGCCTGTTTCACTTTGGAACTGATTCAACCTAGTGTCAGGGAAACTCTAAAGTTCATTAATAAATTTAGAAATGAAAAGGAAGATAACATTTAAATGGCAGGTGCTGCCATGAATCCTGTTCAGAGAACTATTAGGCAGCACGACTAATTCCTAATTCTTCCCCATTTGGTTGAGGACTTACCTAAAACAACTGAATAATTATGAACACAAGTCCATTTAGGCAATATACAGCAATGGAACTAGAAAACCATTTACAATCCAATTATGATATTTTAGTGGTATACTAAATACAGCCATAGTCCCTGTCCAGCAGAGAAATTTGACAGAAAACCCTAGTCTCTTCTAATAACAGCTGTCTATGGATGCTATGAAGGAAAAATGTTCTTATGCTCATTTCCTCATTAAATAAACTGGACCACACTGGTGAGGCCAAAATTTAGAAAGATCAAAGCACCAAGGCTGAAGACAAAAGTCAAGTGGCACCTGCTATATAAACCAACAAGTGTATAACACAATGTTCCCTTATACCATTCTACACAGCACTGATTCTAATCCACCTCTTGATCTCAGCCCTTGCATTCCTCAAATTCAGAATTCCAATCGGTGTACCCAGGTCATTACTGGATTCAACTTTCTGGGTCCTTTAATTTGCTGTATATGTACTCTATTGTTAAATGTAATTAATTGCAAAAAATATCTTCAAGAAACCTTCATAACAAAATACCAGATTCCCTATTAAGAAGAGGATCAAGTTTAACAGGCCAAAGTAGAAGTCTGTCAGAACATATGTAGATGGCACAGGACAGCTCTGATCTCAGTTCTGCTGTGCTGAGCAAGTCACTTGCAAAGCTCCAAGGTGCAAGAGCTGTAAATATCCAGAGTCACATGGGAAAGTGAAGAATGTTTCTCATTCAGTCGTCCTCTGAACTCTCAGCAGACCTTTCATCTGTAGCCACTTTCCAATTTGTGCGTTTGTTTGTCCTCTCCTGTATTTCATTGTGAAGTACAGGGATATAGGCTTTTTTATCTTTCTTTTTCCTTTTCGTTTTTTTAGTGTCTCTTTCCTCACTTTCCTCAGAACTGCTGGATGCAGAATCATCTGATTGAGAAGTGTCACTTTCTGCATCTAAGATTAAAGTAGATTTTTTGAGAGACTTTTTCCTGGATTTTTTTTTGTGCTTATGTGGTTGTTTCCTGGTACTAGAAGCCCCAGTTTCTTCTGAGAATTCACTTGAGGAATATGCTGTTACATCTGTGGCTTCCCTTTTGCTTTTCTTCTGCTTTTTGTGAGACTTTTTTTTCTGCTTTTTTTTGTGGGATTTCTTTGACTTCTTGTGTTTGTGAGATTCGTGAGTAGATGATTTTACCTGGGGAGATGTTTTTTTTCCATTAGCAATCTCCTGCTGATCACTAATAAAAAAAGAGAAACTGCTTTACTATAGAAAATAAAAAGTATATTTACACTTTAATATTTTGAATTCTAGGTAGGAAATTTGGGTTAAAACAGCTCTGATACAGGGTTATGAGACTTTATCACTCTGAGTTTTTGTTTCCTCATCTTTAAAATGAAAAATTCTAATCTGCCATACTGAATTACCGTGTGAAATAATACACATCAATCAGAGAAAGACAAAATCCTAAGTGCTACATATATGTCAAACATTGATCAGGGAAAGGCAAAATACCAATCATATCCCATCTAAATCACCTATTATTTCTCAGTTACATTTAATGGCAAACATTAGATGCTTTACAAAAACTAGAAACTCAATTTACAGTTCAGACTTTGTACTAATCTTAGTTTCTAACTTTTTTCCAGTAAGCTTATATGCCTTACCTGTCTGTTTCAAATTCTTCAGGGTATAACTCTTTATAACCACTGTGACCCCATCTGTAAGATGACATTTTAGTATACATATTGTTAAAGCAATCAATATGTTTTTGCCAATTAAAACAAATTAGACGAGGAGTCTGCATACACAGACAGACAAAAAGAGAGATGGTAGAGCCAACCCCACATTATAGCCTCAGTAACTTAGCTACATTTTTCTGTACTGCACACTATCGTTTCAGACAAAGCATTCCTGTGTCCATTTATAAAACTTGCCATTCTCTTCCTTAAGAAACATAAGCAACTCTGATCTTCTGTTCTTTAGCTGTGAAGTCCCTCTCCAAAACCGCTTCATAACAATACTGTCTACATTGGTACTATTTTCTTTAAATAACTTTATTAAAATATAATGTGTATACCATAAAATTCGGCCTTTTAAAGTGTACAGTTCAGTGGCTTTTAGTACAAAGTTGTACAACCATCACCACGGTCTAATTTCAGAACATTTTCATCACCCCAAAAAGAAACTCCATCCATTAGCAGTCACTCTTCATTCCTCCCTCTCCTGGAGCCCATGGCAACCACTAATCTACTTTTTGTCTCTATAGATTTGCCTATTCTGGACATATCATATAAATAGAATCATGTAATAAGTAGCCTTTTGTATCTGGCTCTTTTCACATGCCATGTTTTCAATGTTCATCCGCGTTGTAGCATGTATCAGTACTTTATTCCTTTTACTGCCAAATAACAATCCCATTACCATTCCATATACCACCTTTTGTTTACCCATTTATTAACTAATCAACATTTGGATTTCCACTTTTTCGCCATTATGAATAATTACGCTGTGAACATTTGTGTACAAGTTTTTGTAGCGATAATTTTAGTTAACAGCACACATTCTCAGGCTGAATGTTGTTAATGGCGATAAGAATCTAGTCACAAACCTGTCTGGCATGTTAGCTTCATAATCATATAACTTCTTGTTCCAGGATTTAGCCTTAAGAAAATCATCTTCTAGTGCTCCAGAAATTTCATTCTTTGGCCTCCAGTAGTCTCTCTGACTTTCTTCATCAAAACCATCACTACGCATCCGGCTATATGAGAAAACAGAAGAACTTTTACATTTGGAAGCAATCTGAGAGGTTACTTTATGGAACATCATGCACAAAACTCATTGAACAGCTAAGGGGAGAACAAAACAACCTGATACTTAATATTTTAAAAAATCATGTAAAAAGACATGATCTGTTCCTCTCCATAAATCTGTACAGTTGTTTAGTAAATATCTGACCATAACTACCCATCCTATTGCAGAATATAAATGAAATGACTTCTGGACTATGGCACACTATAGCTCTCTAATTCTCAACTAGGAGGCCATGCAAAGTAGGAAACAGAGTATAATCACAGCTGAAGACATTTCGAACTACCCTAGAGATTCTGAAATACACTCCCTTTCTGAGAAACCAGCAACTTGCTGTAATGATGTCATAGTAACAATGAGAACGAGGCCTGACCCATGAGTATATGTTGGGGTAGAAAACCAGTTGAGAACCACTGATTCAATCCGTGCTTAAAATATCCACTAACCAGTCATTAAGCCAGCTATTCAGTTATAAAAAATGTTTAAGGGCTTCTACGTACAGTCACTCTTCTAGCTACAGGGAAAATCATGCAAATGAGACCATCAGAATCCCTGCCCCTAAAGATTTATTTTTTATAAAATAAATTTATTAAAAGACTTATTAAATCTTTATGTTTTAAAGATTTATTCACCATGACAGGCATTAATAGTCTACTCTCAACAATATTTTGTTCCTGGAAGTGCCACTCGGAATTGAACAACCAATACAAAACAAATCATCACCTGCACTAGTATTCTTGAAGGACCATTTTCAAAGAGAAAACAGACTGAAAAGATATTTATTTTTATGTTGAGACTTTGCTTTCTTTACCATGGATACCCTGCATATCTTCTTGTCTGAAGCCATTTACACACAGCCATCACACTCCAAACTCCACATACTCTGGAGACATACTCATTCTCCTTAAATATCTCATTATTAACTATTTCGCTGGGTGGCTTTAGAAATCAGCACTAGTATTTCAGCAATTTTTCATGCACATTACTGTACACTAACAGGCATATGAGGCCCAACAGATGTTCCTAACATTCAGACATTCCTATACCATCACAGGTAACACAACTAAGCCTGCATAATCCTTCCTACTTACACTCAAATTATTAAGAAGGTAACATGAAAGACTGATTTGGCGAATATAGTGAGTAGGTGGGGTAAAGAAAAGGCTAAGAGAATGAAAGATTAATAGAAGTAAATGATCAGCTAAGTGACCATAAGATACAAGTAGAAAATTTGAGGTTAAAAGCCATCAGGTAAGGTAAGAATCCTTAATGTTTACAATTGTTCAAGGCAAAATTTTTAAATTCTCCATTGCAAATAAGTACAGAGTAGAACCATATGCATCATAGCCATTACCTTTATGCTTGGCTCTAGCTTTATGAAGGATGGAAAGCTTAAGGACTCACAGAACTGCATTCATCTATCTTTAGCATACCAAAATGTTTTTAAACACAAGCTGATGATTCTGAATAAGGGAAGAGTTATTTTGGTTCTCAGAGCGGCAAATTCACCTTGAACTGCTGGGTAACATTTTCCTTTTGGTCCCCCGGTAAGCATCTTCCATCTGTTTCTCCAGTTCTCTTATTTTCCACATATCTGATTCCTCTTGAATCTAGATTTTTTTTTTTTAAAGGAAAGAAAGAAGTTACTAAAAATCACACTTTACATCACAGAAAAGTAACTGAAAATACAGTCTGCACTAATCATTGGATTTTACACTGGGTTTAAATCAGAAACTAATTCTGATTTCTCTAATGTAGTTAAACAATCTGACCCAGTAAATCTCAAATATGTAGAATTCTGCAGCAACAGAACTTTTTAACCACTGCACAGACACACTTATAACTTTATAAATTTTGCAAGCATGCTGCAATTAGCAAATGATAATCCCTTATGTTTCTAAAATGCTTTATGATTTTAATTGTATCATCTCAACTAAACCTTAAGCAATCTTATGAGGAAAGCAAAGCAGATACCATTATTATATTTAACCGAGAAGAAACAAAAGTTCAGAGATTTTACCAAAGTCAAAAAGCTAGTAAAGACAGGTCTTTAAACTTTCTAGGCTAGTCTATTTTCACATTATAATTTTTGTTAAAAACAAAGCAAAATAAAATGGCATGAGACTTGCTAGAGAATTTCCTGAAAAGCAGATTACAACTAACCAAAAACAAAAATGTTTATTTCTAAGTCCTCCTGTAATATTTTGTTAAATTTGTGCTAGATTTATCTTTTTCAGGCACCACTTTCTATGAGGGGTGGTTTAACGCAACTGCAGTGGCTGCTTAGGTAACAGTTACACCCTCACTCACAATCAAAATATCAGGTGATATGACAGTAATAACATTTATGATCAAACTAGAATTGCACAGTTCACCAAAGAAAACCAAACAAGGGTCCTTGGTCCTCTTTTCATTATATGTGCTCTCCTAGGTGACCTCCTCTATTCTCATGCCCTCTATCATTTCCTATATATCAATAATCCCCAGACCTTTATGTCTAGCCTCAACTTTTCTTTCCTCCAAGTCTGAATTTCCAACTGTTTGATTTTATAATTATCACTATCATTCAGTCACCAATTTCTTTGGATTCTACTTCCTAAATTCCTCATCTTCATCCCTGTCACTGCTTTCACATGAACCCCTCACCATCTCTCACCTGGAATGCTGCAATTCCCTAACTGGTCTCTCTACTGTTTCACCCCATCTGATCTATCCCCTACTCAGCTAAAAAATCATCTTTCTAAAATACAAATACAATCAAGACATAGCCAGCTTAAAAATATTTAATGGTTTCTTTATTGCCTATAGGAAAAAGTCTAATTTCTAAACATCACAATCCACTTAGGCCTCATCTTCTGTCACTAACTCCCACATTCTCTACTTTCTGGATGCACACAATTTCATGCCATGCCACAAGTGCTTCATGTGCTTTCCTGTTGCCATGTTAATAACTGATGTTCTCTCTCTGGAATGATTTTCCACTTGATAAACTTGAACCTGTTCATCAAGAACTAGTTCAAATATCAGCACCTCCGATACCATCCATTCTGTGAAGCTTTTCCTAATTCCCCAGATTTCATTATTCTTTCCTCAGTGCTCTAAAACATTTTTTGTGTCTCTATTACAGTACTTATCAAATTGTATCGTAATTATCTATTTTATTCATCTTTGTATCTCCCAACTGCACCAAAATAATGCTTGGCACACTGTACGCCCTTGTTAAGTGTTGAGGAATAACTAGGTTGTACCTCTCACCTTATTGTGAGCATCTGTGTGCCGGATGACATTCCTCAGGAGGACTTTCCCCAAAGGAACCCGGGACATTCTTCAATCTAAAATGAATCAATAAACAACACTTAATAATAATATCCTTTATTACCTTATCTTTTATTATACTGTTATAAAGAAGCATAAGGTAAAGGAAAGATCACTGAACTAGAAATTAGAGTCCTGAGGGATAGTTTTTTCTTCATTAAAAGGGGAAAATGCCTGACCACACTAATGTGAGGATGAAAGGAGATAACGTACACTGGAGTTCTCTGAAATGACACCATTTTATTCAATCCTCAAAATAATTCTATATTTTATGAGGTAAGTATCTTCACACCTAATTAGTAGATGAAACTCCCTTAAAGCCATAACTTGCCCCAGGCAACACAGTCCAAGGCAAACAAGGAATGATTAGAAATCAACACTCGAATCCCAAAATTAGTTTGTGGTGAAGCAAATACCTCGATTTGAGAGTTTCAGGAACCACAAATGTCAACAGTAACAAAAACTGACGCCTAAAAACATCGAATGCAGAGATGCCCTCAATTTCTCCATTCTGACGAATTTTATTTTCTATTTTGTACAGAAGCCTCCAAAAAATAGATGGCAGGGCTATTCACGTGTAGCTAGCAGGGGCTTTGTGCAACCACCCCACCGCTCAGCTCACTCACCCCTCAATCCTGAGGAAATCAGGCATCTTGTTAGTGTGAGACGAAGAGCCACTCCATTACAAGATCTCCTCCGACCCAGGAAGACAAGGAGTCAGGGCTCAAAGGCAGCTCTGCAGCTTCGCCCGACTCCTTCGCGAAAATGCAGCCTTCCCACTGGTTATTCTGCCCTCACCCGTGTCCCAGGCCACGGGTGCCTTTCCCTCAGAACAGACCAACAGGGAGATATCTTTCCAGACAGGACGGGGGCTGCGCCGGCGCGGAATCCGGACGCCCGGGTTGGCTGAGGCATTTCCCGCTCACGCTCCTCTGGGATGGACCCGGGGGGTTGGGTTTCGCTTCAAGTGGGGACGCTTTGGACCGGTACGACCCTCGACTCGGCCCCCAAAAGAATCTTAAAGTGCCTGAAGGGGGGATTAAGGCTTTCAAAAGGAAGACAGGGAAAACACCCCCACCTTTGTCACCGGGATCCCTGCCCCCCAGCGGCCAAGGAGCTCCCGGTAATCTTCCCTCCAAACGCCTTCCCCACACAAATACACACAAACACACCCATACCGTGCGCCGCAGCCTCGCGTGGTGGGGGAGGGGGGGAGGAAGCGGTCTGGGAGAAAAGCGAGCAAGCTTCCCTTTCAGGCCGGAAGTCGTGCTCCTGAGAAATTCTTCCCACCAAGAAGAGCTCCAGAGACTCCCACAGGGAGGGTTTCCAGGACACTCAGGAGGTTGACAGGTGCAGAAGGGAGGCGGGCGCCTTCCTGGAAAAGAAGTGGGTCGGGCTCAGCTGCAAAGCGAGGCCAGCACCAGAAGGGGGAGATTCCGGAACTGGACATAGAAAGACTTTTCTGCCGGGAACTTCCCGGACCCAATTAGATGCTGTACCCAGTCTGGTTACCCTGGCAATAGGCGTCGCGGTTTGTCAAGGAACCGAGAGAAGAGGTGAGTTCGCGGATCTCTGAAATGATTGTCCATTAGTTGTTTCCTCTATAGTCTAACCTTAATATAGTATTCTAAGAACCCAGACCTCCTCTTTTCCTCATTCTGTGGATGCCGTGGGACACTTTTCAGTAAGGTGGTGGTGGGGAGTAAGAGGAAGGTTATCTCAAGACGTGGAGAGGATATTATTACTACTCTCAGATAGTGTTTACCAAGTATTCCAGCCTCTCTTCTCTGCATTAGCTTACTTAATCCTCACAATAACCCTATGAAATAAGTATTACCGTCTTCATTTTGAGAATAGATGGAGGCACATATATAAATTAAATATATGCTCAAGGTCACACAGTTTGTAAGTGATAGAGCTAAGATTGGAATCTAGGCATTCTGGCTCCAGAGTTCATGCTTTTAACTACTAAGTTATGCTGAGGATTGAGGAAGTCTCATGTGGCGCTACACACACCTCTGGCAATTTCCAGACTGGATAGGCACCAGTCAGCCAAAACTCAAGTGTTGGGAAAAGAAAATCACCGGGAATGAGCACTCTGTCCCTTCAGGACTTGTGAGGGTCTAGGAAGAAGTAAGGCCTTATTACCTGAGAGGACAACTTGAGAATTTAGGAAGGGGTACTAGATAATTCGAGAATAAGGAAGAGATAAAGTGGTGGTGATCCATAATCTAAAAGATTATGATCTTTTAGACACAGGTGTTAAAGATAGCTGCTAACTTCGCCAAAACAATTCCTGACCTGTTCCTCCTCCCTCAAAAGAAAAAATGAGTCAGTAGTTACACAGATCTTTTTCCCTCAAGTCATTTCTTTCAACAGACTTAAGAGGCCTGTTCACCTCAACCATGGAATCATCCTCAAAGGGTCTGCTCACGCAAGTTACTCAGTTCTGGAACCTCCTAGATGATCTGGCTGAAAGTAACCCTGAGAGCTATGAGAAGTTCATTGCACAGCAGCTGAAAGAAGGGAAACAGCTTTGTGCTGCCCCAGAACCACAGCTCTGTCTGCAAACCAGAATTCTAGTATGTAGGGTTGGTGCCCAGGGATGGGGAGGTCCTGAATGAAATGATCTTAGAATAACCGGAGAATATTTTACCCTCAGCTATTGCTACTTGAACAAAAGAAAACTTGAGGGTAACTGCCATTCTATAAATGAAAAATGAAATGTAGTGTGGAAGATCATGTTGAAGGAGTAAAAGTGGGAAATTTATATATATTTTGGAGATCTCAAAATGAGCCATTTTTACCTGCTAGAATGAAAATAAAAAGTAATGATTTAATAGGAAATCATAGACTTGGAGATTTTTCAAATAAAGATAACTTATTTGGTTGGGGAGATAAGGAAGTGAAAGAAGGTCAAACAAAGTCACATGGAACAGCTGCTTAGATCAATTCCCCCTTCCTCCTCCCAGTTCCTCTGGGAGCAGCAACTGGATTCTTGATGAAAAGCCAGCAGCTCTGGGGAAATCAGGTAACAGTTTATTTTCTCAAAGACAGTTTTAATACATGCAATGACTTCTTGGAGCCTAAAATCCTCACTCTTCAAATTCTGTAATGTATTACCTTTAGGATATTATTTTAAAATAAAATGCTAGATTTTGAGATATGCAAAATTATTTTATTTCTAGAAACCAAAAGAAAAAATACTTTTTATCAACCTATGTCAGTGGAAAAGGATTCCAGCTCCCCAATCAACCACTCATCCAGTACCTCTAAGTGTTGGCAGACCAGAAGATATGTCTGAGACATCAGGTACATAGAATTATGGGAGAGAAAGCACATTTAAAATTTGTATTGGGAATAGAATTGACCAGATTTTACTTGGTAAAAATATTTTATCTGGTTATAATGTAGTTAATGACTAATAAATGTACCTTTATGCAAATTGAGTTTGTCTCGTAACATTAGATGTTTTTAACCCATATAAAATGCCAAGAAATATCCTAATTGAAATTTTGTGTACATAGTGTCATTGTGAGTGCCTTTGAAAAAGATAGGAATAGAATTTATAGCTTCTAGCTTTGTCAAGATGATGGCTTAATATATTACCTGACAGTACTAATAATGAAACTAATTGTCTTCATTTCACACCCTCAATTACAAACATAGATGTTTACACAGTCATCGATGTTGCCTACAATCCTGATATTCTCCAGGCAGCAGAAAAGGACCAAGTGAAAAAAAATCAGTTAATACGGATGGCCATGAAATGCATTGAGGAACAATTCCAGTTTACTCTCTCACACTTTTACCATATTACCAATTTTAAAATAAAGGGAAGCATTCAAAGGATGAAACAAAATCTAATGGGAATCCAAACTGACCCCACATATTTAAGAGAGAAAATGAGAAAGGGTAAGTTAATGAATGTAAATGGAAAATTAAACTGATTTAAATTTTTGCATTGTGTACATTTTGCAAACTAGAAGTCTCAGTTTTAAAAGATGAGAAACTTAAGATAGAAAAAGAGAGTAATTAGAACTATTAGTATATCCTTAAAGATTTTTAAGGATATACTAATAAACTTTTAAGCCAAAGTCTTTGGTTTAAAATTCTTTTAAGATTCCCAAACTCATTTAGCTGCAGCTTTATCTTCCATCTTAACTAACACTACATATATTACAGCCTGATAGTATTTTATGTTGTTTAATTTTGTGATTTCATCTCCCCCCTTTTTTCATAAAGAACTAACCCTTGAACAGATAAGAAACAGTACTGTGAGCAATCCAGATCACTTCCCTCATCTTTTACTGCCAAAAGACCACGTTTCAGGCCAAACAAGTTGCCTGATAGAAGAGATTTCCAGTAAAGAGATCCAGGTGGAGATGAAGAGACCAGCCTATGAATTAAAAATTGTGACAGACCAGAAAGAGAAACCACTGAAAATTGAATTAAAAGTTGAATTACCTGGTATTAATTCAGTATCTCTTTGTGACCTTAGTGTTTCTGAGGTAGGTTGAATAGATAATACTGTAAATTTTTATCAGTCAACATTCAGTATATTATGCTGTGGTAACAAACTCCACAATCTCAGTGGCTTACATAATTTGCTTAGGTTACATGTCAGCTAGGCCTGCTGTGCTCCACAAATCTCACACATTTCAAGATACAGGTGAAGAAGCAGTTCTCATCTGACATATGCCATTCTCCTGGCAGATAGAAAATAGAAGTGGCCAAATTATACAATGAATCTTAAAATTTCCTCTCAGACATGGCATATGTCACTTTGACTCACTTTCTATTGGCCAAAGTCACGAGGCCAAGTCCTACATCAAAGGCAGGGAAGAATATTCTTCTCAAAGGTAGTCAGAGTAAGTTACATGGCAGAAGATTAAATAATTGGCAACAATCCTACAGTCTACCACAGTCCACCCTCTTGGTCACAAATATTTGCATCTTTCCTCAAGGAAGACACCTCCAATCCTAGCATAGACTCCAAATTACAGGATTTTGTCATCATAGTCTGTTCTGCTTCTCTTGAACCAGACCTATGAACAGCAAACCCAAGTTGTCTACTCCTGTGACCCCATGCACTGTACAATGTGGAATGGGGAGAAGATAACCATAATTAACATTGTTAATTCAGAAACTGGAAAAATATGCAGCACATAGCAGTTACTGGTACACAGCAATTCCGATATCCTGTTAAGCAGGTATTTCCAGGGTCCCTTTCCTGGAAACAGAGTATATTCTCACTTAGGGCCATGAATAGGTTCCTTGATCACCTATACCTCTTAGTTCCATTGTTTTCCATTACCTTCAGTTCCATTCTTTGGGAGTTTTTCTTCGTTCTCCACTTTGTCCACATCTGAAGAGAGCATTGGATAATATGCCATCCCTAGGTGCTGAGCGGTTTATTCACCGTTTCATGCCCATGAAATGTTTATTCAGCCTGTTTCATGCCCATGAAATGCATTGATCTAAGCAGCTGTTCCATGTGACTTTGTTTGACCTTCTTTCACTTCCTTATCTCCCCATGGAATGCTGGGGTCTAAATGTTGGGGTCCAAAGGTTATTTTAACTTAGTTTCAGTCTAGGCTAGCAACATTTTATTTAATTCTGATCAGTGCTATACCCCACGATTATTTTTTAGACATGTTGGTTTTTCAATGGCTTTTTTTTTTTTAATTAATAGCTGTCATTTGGGCCAAATGTAAGGATTTAATGAGATCCACCTTAACCCAGTTAGGATTTTAACAAAGAGTATAAGACTTGTGATTTAGTCTTTGCCTCTCGGGTCTCTGAATCAGCCTTCGTTGATTAAAAAGAATTTCTCAATTTTATCCTTTACCGTTTGAAAATAAAAATTAGTTGCATTCTTGTCAAGTCTTAGTACTTCTGAGCTCTGTATATTTCAAACCCCACTTGCAAACTAGTAAATTATTTTCTAAGCTCATCAATTTTTGTAGTACTTTGTTAAATGTAGCCAATAGAACCAATGCATGCTACAAACACTTTTTCCCCACTTTTTTACCTAAAGCCACAACTTAACTAGGCACATAATTTGTCTTCCAAATTATTGTGATAGTTTTACTAAGAGCTTTATCACTATAAAACATTGATCACCATCTTTCCCATCTCCAATAATTTTCCTTGTTGTTGCAAACTAATATAATATTGAATGTTAACTGTAATTGAAAAAAAAAAACCTGAAGGGGAAAAAGTTTCCTTGCTATTTGCTAGTCCTCCCCAAAGTCAATACACATAATTTAGAATAATAACACCCACCTTCTGGTACTGCTTTCAGTTAACTTTTGATGTATTGAGCAGCAATAACAATCTCAGAAACTCAGGGATTTACAACATCAAATTATTTGTTCATTGCAAGCCACATGGCAATAAGTGGAAGCCTCTTCCTATGGGAAAGGAGTAACTGGAAACAATAATCCAGTAACACTAATTTTAAACAGAAAATATTTTTCTACTTTCATGTTTTAAAGTCTCTCTTGGTTTATTATTCTTAGGATGATTTATTGATTGAGGTATCTGAGAAGTACAGATTACATCTGAATCTTCCAAAACCTGTGAATACTGAAATGACTACAGCAAAATTTATCAAAGAGAAAGCTACATTAATCGTCACAATGCCATTGGTGTAAGTCAAGAGCATCACAGGGTCTTCAGTGCTAAAGTTATGTGAATTACACGGCCTTCATTATGGGTAAAGAAGAGATAGTGGTTTATCTTAAACACTAGTTTCATATTTTCTAAGAGTTCCTTTTGATGGAAAGAGATTTTCTCATCAGCTGCTACCTTTTTTTTAAAACTCACTTCTCAAATAAACTTGGCATCAAGCAAAAACTACTAAAAACAGTATTGCCATGATATACTTGTTTTGAAGGTATGTGTAATGGTCTTAAGTAACTTAAATACCATTTGGGAAAATTCTATTTGTTTCCAAGTAACATGAGAATTCTGTTTATTGGTTAAAAATTTTTGCATCAGGAATAATTCCCAGACTGTGCAAGAAGATTTTTATTATCACAATGGGCCACAGCAGTTAAGTTTCCTCCAGCAATAAAGATACAAGGCCAATGTAACAATACGCAAACCTTTTATGAACCTCTGTACTTCTGTAAAACAGCTCCTGCAGGAGTCCAAGCTACCCAGGCATTAGATGCAAATACATCCAACTAAGAAAAAGGAGTTGTCTTTCTCCTAAGAAAATAATTTTTAAAAATACAAAGTGATGTACTTTTCAACTCCTATTCCTCTAAGTTGTCAAATAGTTGTTCAATACAAAGGTATCAAATTTCCAATTAAGCAAGCAATGTAATTAAGCAATGTTCACATCGATCTTTAAACATCCCTTATTTTTTCTAGATACAAAACAACTTCCATGTAATTAGTTTCTAATTCAACACAAGATCTTTAAATAAAATCCTTATTAATTTAAAAATTTTTTAACTTTAGAAACTAATGTTGTATTTGTAATAGAAATAATTGATAGGTGACTTTTAAAAACATAATTTTCTTAAACCTGGCCTAGATTTGAATCCTTCTAGCAATAGGATAATTTATCATCTGAAAATTTTCAACTGTTTGATGTCCTAAAATTACCAAAGCTATTCTCCTCATACCTCAAAAAACTTGGAATGCTTTTACCCTATCTTTTCTACAAAATCACTGTCAAAACACATTTCCTAGAAACTCCCATAACTAGCTAGCCACATAGAACTGGTAGAATCTTGGTGCTTTGGGTGTTATGTCAGCAGCTATGTATTTGTGTACTCAATAAAATGCATACCAAGATCTAGCATACTTAATGTTCAAATATTAAATATATATCCTAGTCATTTTCCAAAATATTTTCACTTATATAATTTCAGTGGATTTTATATTTATAAAAACATCTTTACCTCCCCCTCCCTAAAGCAAAACTTCGCCCAAGAAGAGCATTAACTAATAATGAACTGCAGAGTAGTTTAAGTTTGAATCTTGTCAACATCTTTTATCCTCAAAACTGGAAATTAGTTAAGATGGATATTAATTATTCTTGATTTAGAGACTAGATTTTTCTATAAACTTGGTTTTAGATCAATTATCAGTATTTTTTGTGTGTGTGCAAAAAATATTATTACTAGGTAATAAGTAGTCCTTGCAACACATTCCTATCATCACTTGCTTTCATCAGCTCCTCTTGTTAACCATGCCTTGGGATACCATAACTACATTTACAAACCTCAGGACTGGAATAAAATACCAAAGAGCCAGACCACAGTTTCATCTTGCTATGTGCCACATCCCAACATGAAGTGCTTCAATAGCTCCTTGAGCTTAAAGTATTAGATTATATTTTACCAATTCTATAAACTCAAAATATATACTAAGAGTTTACACATACATAGCTATCCTTGGTCTTAATCATTTAATGTGAAAATTACCAACAGATCAAAAATCAGACCGGACGCATTGAAAACATATAGTTTCATTTTTAAACAATCTAATTTGAACCAAAACCACTACTGTTAACTTTTATTCTTTCAGTTCTGGTAAGAGAAATAGACTGAATTCAGATTTAGATTATGGTCAGATTAATTTTTAACTCAGAACAATTTTTATTAGAAGGCAACTTTTTATTTTTCTTTCAAGGGAACAAAAGAGCCATAAGCATTAATTAGCAAAGGATTAATTATCTTTGAAATTTCATGTATTTGAACCAGATGTGGCTCATACTGACGATGGTCCCCTGTCATAAACTTGTTCGTTCTGCATAATCTTCAAGTTAGAATTATTAATTACTGTACTGACTCGTTTTCATAACAATACAGCAAGGGAAATACCTGTGGAATATATGGAGTGTCACTTGTGTGCCACATAAATAATGAACATTTAAAAATAAATTCAACAAAGATCTAAAATCAGGGCATAGCTCCACATATATATATACAAGGAAGCACTAGTCAGATTTATTTTAAATAGCCATAAATGATTCCAAATATTTATTAAAACATCAATTCAATAGAAAGTCTGGAATTGTGATAATGTTCCCAATTCATTTTTATTACCTTGAATATCAGCTCCTTCTCCCCAGAAGAAAGGCAAATCATAACAAAATGGAAAAAAATATTTAGGCTGATAAGGGAGTGAGCAACCTAAATAATTTTTTTCTCTCTAGTAGGATTTTAGGACCTTCTTATTTTACATGAGACAACCGTGGCGTAGAAAAATACAGAACGCCTTTTTTGTACACATTTAACATGTTTTATACTTTATCCAAGTAGAAGTGGCCACTTTTGGTCATCTTTTGGTACTCTAAACTGTTCACCATGTATCTCTTCCCCTCTTCTTTTCAGACAGGACTTGGTGATATATAGACTTTGGCACATATCTTATCAGAATCCATACTTTACATATGTACACTTATTCCATAGTTACTTGGCATAGTTTTCCAAAGTGATTTGAGTAGTAAATACTGGTAATTAAGTTCATTTGCAAGTAACCACCAGTTAATACTGGAAAAATTCTACTTTCATAGCTTTTCTGTTAAATTCTATAAGCATATTCTTTTATTTAAAGGTAATTATAGAATTCTGCTCTCACAATTATATATTTGAGTTGTTTAAATAAATACCCACACAAATTCTCATTTAAACCAGGTAACTGGTTTATATTTATATCTCATCTCAAGAGGGGATAACAACCATTTTGGAGTTCATAGAAAAATAAACAACAGTTGATTGAAAATGTCTAAGAAAATGCTGACTTTTAAATTTTAAAATTTCACTTCTTTTCCTTGAAGTTCTCTATTCTCTACCCTTCTGATCCATTATAAAGCAAGATCGTATAACAGATAAATGTACAGGGTTAAATTCCAAAATCAATCTTCAATTAAAACCCTTTCTCTAAGAGAATTAATTTTCCTGACTTCT